CTGCTGTGGTGGTATCTGCTATGATGAGAGGAGTACATATTGTGGTGGTGGTACCTGGTATGATAACAGCAGTGCATATTGACTGTACTCATCATTCACCCTCACCATTCACCACTCACAACTCACCCTTACCACTCATCCTCACCACTCACCACTCCCACTCACTATTCACCATTCACCCTCACAACTCACCACTCACCAACCTCCCTCACCAATCTCCATCACCACTCACCCTCACCACTCACCCTCAAAACTAACCACTCTATCACCACTCACCCTCACCACTCACCCTCACCACTCACGCTCACCACTCACCCCTCACCGCTCACCACTCACCCATCACCACTCACAACCGCCACTCACCCTCACCACTCACCCTGACCACTCATCCTCACCAATCACACCCTCACCACTCACCCGCACTGCTCACCCTCACCACTCACGCTCACCCTCACCACTCACCCCTCACTAATCACCACTCATAACCGCGGACAGGCTTGGATAGGAGCAATCGTGACAATGATTGGTGCCGCTATGAAAGTTACTCTACTTTTTATCACAGTCAGTACAAGTGCAGGGAGAGTTGCCACTCGTCGAATCGCTGTCGATTCCCGTCACAAATTGATGTTTACCTCAAATATTAGTGTCACCACGTGGCCCGGGGGGGGGTCTGTGTAGGCACGCGGGAAGGCCGCGCGCCCTCCGTGTGTCTGCAGAGACGAGAGACGAGGAACGAGAGACGCGTCGCTCAACAGCGACAGTGTCGCGCCTCGCAGTCGGCTGCTTCTGCCGTTGTCTTCTCTCCACTGCTGGATGAAGGCATCTTCCACCGCTCTCGCCGCTCACGGTCCATCGCTCCCACCGTGCGTCCGTCTCTTGCTGCTCGTCGTCAACTCGTTCCATGGCTCCGTCTCCGCAGTGGAAAGGGCCGCAGTTAAAGTGTCACTTTGTGCGTGCAGCAGGTACGTGAAATAAAGGCCGCTGGGTTGATTACATGTGTTGTGCTTCGAGGTGAGTGCTGGTGGGATGCGGTTAGCGCTTGTACGGGTAGAGTTATTTGGTTAAGGATTTAACACAAATGTAGCATTCTGAGGTAAATCTTTAACATTACAGATTTAAGTTGCAAATGTCAACATTCATAGTAACAGTTATATAGTTTAGGTTATTCTCTAAACTTGTAAGTATGACTAGAATCAAAAGTGGATATGATGGGTGAAAATTCTGTATTAAAATTATTATTGAAATACAGCATTTATAGCTGTTAAGTGTATAAAAGCATGTTAAATATGTGATATGGATATTTAAATACTCACAATAACATAGTTCCGTAGCTTACACAATAAAAAAAAACTAATTAGCATGTTATAGTTACAAGCAAATATGATAGTGAAATATGCTGTAATGAAAGTTTTGAGGCAATTCATTAATTATTTGTCTTAAGGCTTAAAGCATAATACTGTAATGGTTTAACAATTTTACAATAATTATATAATATACCATTACGTTTAATACATTAAACCAGATCAGAAAGTAATTTGTTAAACGTTTATTTGATTAAAAGTGACTGCTGTATTAATTTATATTATTACTCGCCACCAATCACAGTGGCGGATATTTGAAGCGGAGCTGGGCGTCTCCTAGGTCGACTCAGCCTTCGAATGAGTGACCTGGTGCGGTGTGTAAATATCAGCACTGGGGAGACACAGAGGGGGTCGGGGGTAGTTTTGGCCACCCACCCCCTCATGTGCCGTCTTTGTCTTCTTCATAGGTGCTCGGGAACAGCACTTGCCCCAACAGTCTGTTAAGTTCATGTCAGGTTCTTTGTATTGGCCCGCAAAAACTCCTATGCGGTCTTCAGTAAGGAAAAAGTTCCCTGCCCACTGCTTTCTTCAACGTTGGTATGTAAAAACAAACTTATTTTAAGAACGACAGGCCCACTGGCCTCATCACACGGATAGAAATTGAAGATCATGAGAACAGAAGAATTGATGAGTTGGAGTACAACAACTTCGTGGACAAGCTGGGTTTATTTACAAAATGTTTCTCTACATTCTTCGAGAAAGGACTGATTATCATATCAAATATCATTATGCGTATCGCCTTTGTAGACTCTGAAAGGGCATTGGCTCAGTTACTATGTATACAGTCTGCGAGTACTGCAATAACTAAATAAATATGTCTAGTTTACAGCGCCTGTGTCAGTCCCCTGCTGGATGAAGGCCTCCCCACGCCATGTTGGCGATGGTTGACCATACTTTCCCCACGCTGTTCAGTGTTGGTGACCCTTATCCCCGCCTACATTGGATGCCCCGGTGGCGAGATGTTAACTACCTCGCCTAGTATGCAGTAGGTCGTGCATTCAATCCCGACCCTAACGCCTTTTGTATATTTGATGTTTGCACGTCTCCCTCCCCACGGTCGCGTCGTTTTTTTCTCCGGGTTCTCCGGTTGTCCCCTTCACATTTAGAAACATGCGTTTAGAGTATTTGGTTGCTATAAATGTCCACGTAATAAGCCATTTCGTTGAGCTATCAACTATGGACAGGTATCTTCTGAAAAAGAGCTATATAGCTCAGCGGGCCTTACCTGGCAACAAAAAAACAATAGTCTAGTTTTAGTTTCATTCTGATAATGATGGAGCAGGTGGAGTGAAATTAACCAATGTGGCCACTGGAGGGCGGATGTTTACGCATCACAGCGAGGCGCGTCCACTCAGCCTGGGGACAAACGAGATACAAAGACAATGATCTCCCGTATTACCTGAACAGACTGTTGAGGGTAATTGCTGTTAGCAAGCACCTATGAAGGCCAGCCGCCTTTGTCTCCCCAGTGGCGATGTTTACACACCGCACCAGGTGCTGATTTGAGGCTGAGTCAACCTTGGGGAGGCCCAGGAACGGTTCAGATAATCGTCACCTGGTGTTGGTGGCCGTGATCGGAACTCGAACTCGGGTAACTGGGTTCGTAGCGCAGCGTTAACCGCTGAACCATCGCTCCCAACACACTACAGACGCCACCTCTCCCTGCCCGGCCCCCACGAGTGTGAAGCAAAAGTCGGGGGTGCAACTTACAATCCGGTATGTGTGTGTGGGGAGACAAAGGCGGCCGGGCGTGGTGTTGACCAACCCAACGCCTCGTATGCAGTTTCCGGATTTCATAGGTGCAGCTCGCTAACAGCACTTGCCCCAACAGTCTGTTACAGGCTACTCGAGGGAGCTTTGACTTTGTAGAGCGGTGGAGCAGTGGTTAGCGCGCTTCCACTACGAACCCGGCGAACCGAGTTCGATTCCTGCTCACGACCACCAAAAGCAGGTGACGATTATCTAAACCAGTTGGGGGCTTCTTCTAGGTCGACTCAGCCTCAAATGAGTTCCCGGTGCGGTGTGCAGTAAACACCGCCGCTGCAGAGACAAAGACGGCCAGGCGTGATTGTTGACCACCCACCCCCTCGTGTGTCCTGCCAGCTTTCATAGGTGCTGATTACTCGCTCTAACATCACTTGCCCCAACAGTCTGTTACAGGCTACACAGGGGATCTTTTCCTTGTCACCAGATTTGTGCGTCTTACTTTCCGGCGCGTCTCATGGATTTCGGGGAATTTGGCTGTAGACAACCGTCTCTGATTTCTGTGCCTCTGTAGATTCACAAAACTCAGAGGGAGAGTGCCGCCGCGCGTTGCAGTCGGTTCCTGCCATTGTCTCTCCACTGCTGAATGGAGGCATCTTCCACCAGTTGCCCTCGCTCACGGTCCATCGCTCCCACCGTCCGTCCATCTCTTGCACGTGAACTCATTCATTGTTTCGTCTCCACAGGGGTCGTCCTTTACGGTATTGTTTTAGGTTTACATTTTGTGTCTGGGTTGTAATGTACTGGAGCGTGGTGTAAAGTGAGAATTGTGTGTGGAGTGTGTCTTACAGTGTGGTATAGTGTAGTGTCTGTAGTTTGTGGTTTATCGTGTAGTGTCTGTAATTGTGGTGTATAGTGTGCAATAACGTGGATAGTACAGTCTGTCATATATAGTGAAGTGTCAATTACGGTATGGATAGTGTGTTGTACAGTGTATATTGTGTACTGTGTGTGGTTTATGTGGTGTTGCATATAGCGTGTATAATAAATTCCATGTGATGGAAAGTGTAGTGTGGTGTCAAGTGTAGCCTATGTGGCGTGATGTATAGTGTAGTGTGGCGACAAATACATTTCCTAGGGGTTGAGCCATACTTCATCACGCTGGTGAGTGCCTGGTGGTAGCAGAATCGGTTCAGATATCACGAGCCAGTGATGCTCCCCATAGCTGGCAATTAAATTGAGATTGTTGGCTTCATAGACTCTGTCATGGAGGCTATTTAGTCCATGGGCCAGAGCAGTAATTGGTACAACGTTAGGTAGTATGTTTAGTCGCACCTTCGGATAAATACGCCTAATGAGTGTGTTACTTGATAACCCGCACCTCCGAGTAGCACACTAGGCTACATACGGTGCGAAAGAAATTCAACATGCATACACCACCGCTCGTTTCAAATGTTTATCAAATAATTCACTGTTTTTGCCCCCACATTTGGAATTTGCAACCACTGAAGTGATGGCATCTCGCGGATTAAGTGGGTATCTGAACTGCATGGCAAAACGGCCATCAAAATTCACTAGTTTATTATTCACAGAAATAATGCAGTAGTCATTTCATCGGTTCACGTTGCTGTATGGATGTCCCTTGGCTATTAGATCTGGACATGGCCTTACGAACTACATACAGAATCATACCCAAGAATAGGAATTTGATTCAAACTTTTTATTTTTTAAAGTACGTATTTTTGTATTCACAAAATTACAACATGTACACATTTACAATGATAATAATCTTCTTTGTGGATGTGGTGCTGGCGCTGCTGGGCTGTGTTGTGTCAGCGGTATTCATCAGGACCCGGTGTGCATCGCCCTTGCAGCGGTGGCAGCGGTGGTGGTAGGGGCAGCAACTTGACCACGTCCCTCGTGTGATGTCATCCATCAGTGATCACGGTTGATCTCCGGGGTCAGGGTCGTCGCTGCCGCCTCTTGATGCCATTTCCCATGGCCGCCGTTGATTTGACTGCACACGGGTATGGCCTTCATCTCTGGGGACCTGCGCACAGCACATGGAACGACCGCTACGTGAGTTTCATTGGCCCAAAGGGCAACCTGGTGAACTTCCTGTGAGTTCAACAGAGATCGAGCCTTAGCAGCAAAGGTGGAAGGCAACCTGCCCAACTTAGGTAAAAATGAAAATGATAATGGCGTGGCTCTGAAATTTCTTGCTCATGCCACTGCTGGCAGAAAGTCCTCGAGTAGACAAACTCTGGATGATATTTGGTCTACTCTTCCACATTGACCACACTTGTGGGCATACCCACAAATACAACTCGTGGGTAACTCACCTGACGTAGAAGAGGATGTATGCCTGTTTCTCCATGACCACCCTGGTGTCGACCGGCGTCACCAAGTCGTCGTCCATCCGGAACCATCTCCCATCGCAGATCTGTATGCAAACAACATCGAAGATTAATTACGACGATTATCCAATTGCACCTGAACTATGTATATATTCGTAAAATGACACATGAGGAACAGAGGTGACCCTCTTATTCCACCTATTATTGTGTTGTCCTATAAGTTGAGTAATCGAACCGATAATCCATGAAATAACTGATTACATTTGAAAGTTAAAATCCTGGTTGGGACTTCACTTGGTCCATCATCTATCCAGGGGCAATAAAGTAATTACACATATTTGGTGAAGTTAACAGTGGTTCTATGCATACGCTTTCCCTCAATCACTGGAATGGGGAATTTTCACCACTGGCTCAGGACTATAAATGGAAGATGAGCACCACCTCATGGCTCAAAGGAGCAGGAATGGTTTAGATTTGTTTCACTGAATCGAATTATTTAAAGGATCGATGCATACGGATGTTTGGCATGTGTTTGTGTGATAATGTAATACATCACCTTGTTGTAACAGTAGTAATGTCCCTCTGTGCTGGATTTCCCAGAGTGCACAAGGACCGAGTATAACCTGTACACTACAGGGTCTGCGTCCTCCTGCTGTGACATGAATGGCCGCACGTCCAGGTGCTGTGGGTACGGGCAATCCTGCAGTGGTGAAGGAGGAAGCAGTGATGCAGAAAGAGAGATGGTGTTAGGTGGGAAAGAGGAGAAGAATGATGCAGGGTCGAGTTCTTTATTATAATTTTTGTGCTACTATATTTTTTACTTTACCAGGTAATGCTTGCCGACTGAGCTATATTGCTCTTTCTCCGAATCGATCTAGCCACAAATGATAGCTCAACGAAGTGGCTTATCACGTGAATAGTTATAGCAGCCAAATACTCTAGAAGTAACTGGTGGACCCGGAGAAAAACCCACGTGAACACGGGGAGAACATGCAAACTCCAAATATAAAGGCATTAGGATCGGGATCGAACCCACGACCTCCTATACACTAGTGGAGGTAGTTAAGATTTCGCTACCATAGAGCCCATTTTAGGTAGATTAACCAAGTGGGAGCTCGAGAGACCATTAAAAAATAAAAACATGTGCACGAGTGATCTAGGTTACTACCGTGGCAAAAAAAATAACGCGAGAGAAATCACAGAAATTACCCAAAAAGGAAGTAGCACAAAAACAAGCAATGATAATTGGAGAAAATGCAGCCACGTTTTAGAAGAAATGTAAAACAAACATATTAACCAAACATTACCCGATTGATCTTGTTTCCAAACAGGTCATATCTCTTGATGGAGAGGGCCAAGACGTTCGGGAGATGGTGAAGGCTCATCCTCTTCGTGGCCTTCACCTTGCAACAGCACCTGCGCACCCAAAAGCAGCAGCGTCAGTTTAAGGACCGAGATGCCCAGTGCAAAACTGTACAAATATGTTGGCGTTAGAAAGTAGACAGACTCGCGTGACATTGATGTCGTGCCATACTCACCTTTGGCAAGTGTATTCATCCAGTGTCTCTGTCTTGGTGAAATCTGCAAAAGCTGCCAGCAGATCTGGCGAATTCTGTCAAATAGAACGACGTGAAGGCAAATGAGTGCTTGAAAAGAACACTGGGAACAACTTTTGCAGCTGTTAGAACAGTGAGTCCTTATGTTGTACTGGCCGTGGTGTGACATGAGAGGGCAGTGTCCTTAGGTGACAGGAATTAAGGACGTGCTCCCAATTTTCAGATTCATCTGATGTACAGTATTCCAGTCGATCGGCAAACTTAATGTGTTTGAGTGACGCTACTTGTGTAATGTACACGATCCGAAAAAGATCAAAAGTGTTGCTTGAAAACGAGAAAATAATTAAATCCGAAACTCGTCACAAGTAAAGATACCATTTAAGTAAATCAAAAATTCCTCGATTCTTACGTTGATGTGAAGACTGATGTCCAGGCAGTTTTCGAATGTGTCAGAGGTGCAGGAGCACTGTGTGCACTCCACTGTGGAACACAAGTGAACGCACGCGCACACATCCACAATCTGGATTTAAGCTTACAATGGTGAGTTGCTGGTTCTCCCACTGAGTCATGCGGTAATTTCAAGTTTTTGCTGTAAAATAATTACGTGCACGCATGCAAGTTGATGTTCAGTTTTAATTCTTGTGTTTGTATCTGATCAAATGGGTTGTTGTGGCTGTGTGCTTGTGCATTTTTTTTATTGTGCGGGGAGTGGAAATATAGCGATTAGCGCACTGGCGAACTGAGTTCGATCCTCGCTCACGGCCACAACATGTGAACCTCGGCTTCTCCTAGGCCGATTCAGCCTGAAATGAGTATCTGGTGCATTGTGTAACTTCAGCACTGGTGCTAGCCACCGAAGGTGGCCTGGCATGGTGCAAGCCACACCACCTTATCATGTGTCTTGTTGGCCTACATAGGTACTCGCTAATAGCAATTGCTTTATTATTCTGTTAAGGCTTCAGGGAGATCTTTGTATTTGCGTGTTTTGCTTATGTCATGCTGTGTACGTGCGTAAGAGTGCAGAGTTCATCTGCACTGTGCAGCATGCGTCGTCATACTCGGTGTGATCGCTACTTGCAGCAATGATTTTGCACATGGAGCTGGCACACACCTGTCGATCTCAGCTGCCCTGTGAAGATCTGGTGAATCACCGAGGTCTTCTCCATATGTTCTTCCAGCCTGCACGTGGAAATGAATGACATCACACATTCGGTGGCTTACAGATGCATCATCTTTACCAAGTGCGCACATGGGAGAGTTACTCCTTTTTGTTTCAACCCTACGTCACCTTGCAGTCAAACGCTTATTTAAAGAATATTCTGTAAACTTTGTTGTCAATTTTTGGTAACAGGTTGGGAACCAGTGGCCAATGACGTGCACTACTTACTTGTCGTGGTTGATTGGGCAGGAGAGGTGCAGAGCTTCTATGATGTAGCAGAAGAACTCATGCACGTCCTCCTGTTTGCCAAACTGCAGGTGTTTGACGATCCCTGTGGGTAAATGGATGGAGGTCAGAAGCGATTTGAACGCAAGGTTACTAAACGTTTTACCAATGCCCCACCCATTGAGAATAGGTTCTAAATTTAATGTGCACAATTGTGTTGTACTGAACGGAGCTCACGTTTGAGGTTTTGGACGATTTCCAAGGGCTTGATGACCTTGCCCTTGGAGCTGAATGTTGCAATGGTGTGCCTCTCCATTATGCACATCATGCAACATCCATTATCTGTACCTGTGAAGTGCGGCAGAGGTGGCATATGCTGTCAGTACAACACCAATCAAAGCTCAGCTGTAGGTGCAGCACACAGCAAGGACATCTTCGCGTAACAATTATTTTCAGCTTGTTGATATTTCAAAGTGTTCTGGGAACTCACATCTTCCTGAGTGGTGCCTGGAGATCAGGTAGTTTGCCAGTGGTGCGGTGTAAGTGAGGCACTGCAGGGTGGCATTGAGGAAACAGGTGTTCCCCATGTTGTCAAGGCCAGCACCCTCGCATGCGTTCCACTGCCACGTCAGGCTCAGGTTTTCCCCCGATTCTGGCGCGAGTCGTGGAGCTCCATTATAGATCTTGTCTGCGCACAAAACATCCAGGAATTTTTGTGTTTACACTCGAGGCACTCTGGAGACTGGCTCGAAAGTTGTGTGGTAAAGCCAGAACTTGTGATATCATTGTTTTAGCGGTGCTCTTCATTAACCCTTTCACAACCATGTTTTTTTCAACTCTAGGTGACTCTACAGTGAGCTGTTTTTTGACGTAATTTCTGTTAACGTGGACAGGGTAACAATATTCAATGGGTAGGGGATAAACCTGGTCCTTGTCCAATATTTTCATTTTGCCACTAAATGAATGGTTATCGAAGGACATTGATGGATCCTGGATATCACTTTGATTTTCCTCCGTAAATGTTGTCTCATGGCTTCGTTTCACGTTTACCATCCCGATTATACAACATACATTGTCCAAAAATCTGACATTTTATCTGGAACTCATACCTACTACAGAGTTGCTTATGACATTGCAGTTGCACTACATTGACGTGTTTTTGTCCACTTTCTGAATGCAGTCGCAAATGCCCAAACGTCAATTACCCAGCAGTGAAGTTATAGTAGATAAGAGTTAACACCTTTTTGGGATTAAGCAAGGTTATGAGAACTTGGGAGAAGAGACCATTAGAGGGAATTCCAAAGTCAAGCTAGTGTTTAAAGAGTCAGTTTGGTACAAGCTTACCTTCCATGGCAATCTGATCTGGAACAGGAGGAGCAGCTAGCTTCTGGGAGGTGGGCCTGATGATGGCAGACGCTGTCGATGGAATGGCGTCCTTCTGGCTGTGATCCGGCATGCTCCTAAGAGCGGTATGCTGGCTGCCCCTCCTTCGGGCAGCTCGGCCACCCCGGCGTCTTGGTCTCCTCGCTTGACCGGCTGCCTGGCCGAACCCGCAATTTGCGGCCTCGCCTTGCCCGTGACCAGCAGCCTGACCACTTCTGCAACCTGGACTGCCCTGGTGGCTTGTAGCCTGGCAGCCCTTGCATCCAGCAGCCTTGTTGCTAGCTGCACGAATATCTCCGTGGCTTGCCACTCGACTCGCTTTGTCCCCTTCAGCTGGGCCCGGCTCCCGATCTACCACCGGGCTTGGCCCATGATCTGCCACCCGGTTTGCACCGCTGTCCGCTATTGGGTTGGGCCCATGGCTACTCATCTGACTTGCCTCTTGGCTAGCCACCAGGCTCATCTCATTGTTAGCCACGAGGCTAGCCTCAGGGCTAGCCACCAGGCTCGCCTCACAGCTTGTGGCTGGGCTCGTCTTTTGGTCAGCCTCCAGGCTCATGTCACGGCTAGCCACGAAGCTAATCTCACAATGATCTGCTGGGTCAACCTTGTGGCTTGCTTCCAGGCCCATCTCATCGTTATCTGCGCACAAAATATACAGGAAATTTTATGTTAACACACAAGGCACTTTGAGACTGGCTCGAAAGTTACGTGGTAAAGCCAGGACTTGTGATAGCATTGTTTTAGCGGTGCTCTTTATTAACCCTTTCACAACCGTGTATTTTTCAACTCTCGGTGACGCTACAGTGATCTGTTTTTTGACGTAATTTCTGTTAACGTGGTCAGGGTAACATTCAACGGATAGGGCATAAACCTGGTCCTTGTCCAATATTTTCATTTTGCCACTAAATGAACGGTTATCGAAGGGCATTGATGGATCCTGGATATCACGTTGATTTTCCTCTAAAAATGGTGTCTCATGGCTTCGTGTCACTTTTACCATACCGATTATACATAAGTATATAACAACGTACATTGTGCAAAAATCTGACAAGCAAACTTTTCATCTCGAACTCATCTCTACTACAGAGTTGCTTATGACATTGCAGTTGCACTACATTGACGTGTCTTTGTCCACTATTTCTGAACGCAGCCCCAAATGCCCAAACGTTAATTACCCAGCAGTGAAGTAATAGTAGATAAGAGTTAACACCTTTTTGAGATTAAGCAAGGTTATGAGAACTTGGGGGAAGAGACCATTAGAATTTCAAAGTCAAGCTAGTGGTTACAGAGTCACTTTGGTAGAAGCTTACCTTCCACGGCAATCTTATCTGGCACAGAAGGGGCAGCCGGCTTCTGGGAGGTGGGCCTGATGATGTCAGAGGCTGTCACTGGAATGGCGTCCTTCTGTCTGTGATCCGGCATGCTCCCAAGAGCGGTATGCTGGCTGCCCCTCCTTCGGGCAGCTTGGCGACCCCGGCGTCTTGGTCTCGTCACTTGACCGGCTGCCTGGCCGAACCCGCAGTTTGCTGCCTCGCCTTGCCCGTGACCAGCAGCCTGACCACTCCCGCAACCTGGACTGCCCTGGTGGCTTGTAGTCTGGCAGCCCTTGCATTCAGCAGCCTTGTTGCTAGCAGCACGAATATCTTCATGGCTTGCCACTGGACTCGCTTTGTCCCTTTCAGCTTGGCTCGGCTCCCGATCTACCACCAGGCTTGGCCCATGGTCTGCCACCCGGTTTGCACCGCTGTCTGCTATCCGGTTGGGCCCATGGCTTCTCATCTCACTTTCCTCTTGGTTAGTCTCCAGGCTCATCTCATTGCTAGCCTCAGGGCTAGCCACCAGGCTCGCCTCACAGCTTGTGGCTGGGCTCATCTTTTGATCAGGCTCCAGGCTCATGTCACAGCTAGCCACGAAGCTAATCTCACAATTGTCTGCTGGGTCCACCTTGTGGCTTGCTTCCAGGCCCATCTCATGGTTATCTGCACACAAAACATCCAGGAAATGTTCTGTTTACACTCGAGGCACTCTGGAGACTGGCTTGAAAGTTGTATGGTAAAGCCAGAACTTGTGATAGCATAGTTTTAGCGGTGCTCTTTATTAACCCTTTCACAACCATGTTTTTTTCGACTCTAGGTGACCCTACAGTGAGCTGTTTTTGACAATATCTGTTAACGTGGTGAGAGCAATATTCAATGGATAGGGCGTAAACCTGGTCCTTAACCAATATTTGTATTGTGCCACTAAATGAACGGTTATCAAAGGGCATTGATGGATCCTGGATATCACGTTGATTTTCCTCCATAAATGGTGTCTCATGGCTTTGTGTCACTTTTACCATCCCTATTATATGTAAGTATATAACAACGTACATTGTCCAAAAGTCTGACAAACACTTTATCTGCAACTCATCCCTACTACAGGTGTTGCTTATGACATTACAGTTGCACTACATTTACGTGTTTTGTCCACTGTTTCTGAACGCAGTCCCAAATGCTCAAAACGTCAATTACCCAGCAGTGAAGTTTTGGGATTAAGCAAGGTTATGAGAACTTGGGAGAAGAGACCATTAGAGGGAATTCCAAAGTCAAACTAGTGGTTACAGAGTCACTTTGGTACAAGCTTACCTTCAACGGCAATCTCACAATTATCTGCTGGGTCCACCTTGTGGCTTGCTTCCAGGTCCATCTCATGGTTCTCTACCGGGCTTGCCTCATGACTTGCCACCTCTATTCTTTCTTGGCTAGCTACCAGGCTCATCTCACGGTTATCCACTGCGTCCACCTCGTGGCTTGTCTCCAGGCCCATCTCATTGGTAGCCACTGGGCTCGCCTCAAGACTTGCCACCTCGGTCTTCTCATGGCTAGACACTGGGCTCGTCTCATGACTTGCTGCAGAGCTCGGAACACAGCTGCCTGGCTCATAAACCTCATCATCTGAAACACTGCGGAAGCAACAGAAGATGTTCTTGAAACGCTTAATGAAGCCCTTTTTCTTGGCCTTCGGCATTGTGGCGATGTGGTTGCAAAGTATAAAAATGCGTCCAAAAACGTGTCCTCAAGATGATGATGGCTGGATTTTATTTGTTGAAAATTTTGCAACAAAAAACCCAGAGAGCAAGGATAGAACACGTCTGACCCTCACGGTGCCAGATTAGCAACTGAGTTTGTGGGGGGAAGTGACATCACAGTGATGTCACAGTGCACTGGAGTCACATGGTGGCCTATGTAATGGTGACGTCACAGTGATGTCACAGTGCACTGGAGTCACATGGTGGCCTATGTAATGGTGACGTCACAGTGATGTCACAGTGCACTGAGGTCACATGGTGCCCCGTGGGAATTGCCTGTGCAACAAGCACCCTCAATACACTTTATGTATCTGTAACTGAACGAATGATAATGATGAATGGTTTTTAAAAGTAATTTATCTCAACCTAACTTTCGTTGCAGAAAATGTATTTTAGTTTATATTCCATGATTGTGCCCTTTTCCATGCTTTGTCTCACGATATATTCAATCGAGATTGTTGTACGTTATGTTCTTGTATTTGTCGTTTTGGTGACTCAAGTTACTCTTGAAAATGACACCATCCTTGTCTCTAAGCAAAATAAATTAAAACCGTCTTCAAATCATTCTTTGGTTTTTTCGGTAAAGTCACGTATAAAAATAAAATAATAAATTAAATAATAGCATACGACGTTTCGATTGCAACACAAGCAATCATCATCAGGTATAATAAAATAGCGACATAGAATATAACCAGAAAACTATAGACAGACATATAAGCAGACAGATATCACCAAGATACATAGAGAGAGCAACCCAGGTACAGAGAGAGGTGATCGTCTCTGTGGGGTGGCCTTAAATAGACAGAGGGGGCGGAGGCAGAGAGAGGAAGGGGGTAGGGAAAACATTTACATGTCAATGAGTACGAAGGGAGGGGAGTAAGGTAAGCAGGCTTAGAGGGAGACAGAACACACTAAATTAAATAACCTAGCAAAGTATCGAAATGTTATGTAAAACGACACAGAGAGTCGGTCAACACACAATTAACGCATTGCCTGGTCGATTACGTATTTCAAAGATTGCTAAGTTAGAATTTAAGTGTGAAAATTCCAAAGAAAGACAAAACATAAAAAAGAGGAACGGAGACACACAGACAGAGCAGAACCTAAGAACGATACAAAACGAGTGTAGACAGAGAAAATTACACTAAATATACAGGCAGAGAGAGAGAACAAGAAACCCAGAGAGAGAGAAAAAGGTAAACTTGGAACTTCCCCGTAGAAGTGGTTCAATCTTAATTTTGGAGCTTTCGTGACTGCAGGAATTATTCTTTGGTTTTTTCGGTAAAGTCACGTATAAAAATAAAATAATAAATTAAATAATAGCATACGACGTTTCGATTGCAACACAAGCAATCATCATCAGGTATAATAAAATAGCGACATAGAATATAACCAGAAAACTATAGACAGACATATAAGCAGACAGATATCACCAAGATACATAGAGAGAGCAACCCAGGTACAGAGAGAGGTGATCGTCTCTGTGGGGTGGCCTTAAATAGACAGAGGGGGGCGGAGGCAGAGAGAGGGAGGGGGTAGGGAAAACATTTACATGTCAATGAGTACGAAGGGAGGGGAGTAAGGTAAGCAGGCTTAGAGGGAGACAGAACACACTAAATTAAATAACCTAGCAAAGTATCGAAATGTTATGTAAAACGACACAGAGAGTCGGTCAACACACAATTAACGCATTGCCTGGTCGATTACGTATTTCAAAGATTGCTAAGTTAGAATTTAAGTGTGAAAATTCCAAAGAAAGACATAACATAAAAAAGAGGAACGGAGACACACAGAGCAGATAGTTTTCTGGTTATATTCTATGTCGCTATTTTATTATACCTGATGATGATTGCTTGTGTTGCAATCGAAACGTCGTATGCTATTTTTTAATTTATTATTTTATTTTTATACGTGACTTTACCGAAAAACCAAAGAATAATTCCTGCAGTCACGAAAGCTCCAAAATTAAGATTGAACCACTTCTACGGGGAAGTTCCAAGTTTACCTTTTTCTCTCTCTCTGGGTT